CACTCAATCACGTGTTAGGTTGTAATTTGTTGGTAATACCATGCGTACATAATAACGTGTATCACCATAATTCTAAAATTTTACTTACGACACCATATTGTCTTATTTAAACTAAACATGTCATTTGGTCACAACTTGAAAATCATTCCATTTTACTAGACTTCTAATTTTTTTAATTTTTTATTTTTCCCATTCAAAATATCAACTTAACCGCTCATATTTTAAAATATTGATTTGAAATTATGTGGACATCAAAGTTTAAAGACAGATTTATTTATAAATCTCATTTAGCGGACTCATAGCCTAATTGATTTTGAACAGTAATGAAGCCAAAGATTAGAAGTGTAAGGAATTGTATATTTTAGAGATCAAAGTGAAAAGATTTGTGTTGATTGTATATTTCGGATGCTAAATTAATAACTGTCATAAGTTTTAAAGATTTTTAGTGTAACTAACCCAACTAATGATAATGATAATTATGAGCATCTTCAAGGGGACAGTTAAACAAGGTTTGTTAGGCACTTTAGCCAATGTAAGTCTAATTTTGAGCTCCAATGGACTAGTTACTTTACCATCTTATTTTTTTAGTGGCTATAATTGAAGAGCCCTAGAGGCTCTCTAAACAATTATGTATGTATATATTTTAGGTTTTTGCATATTTATGTCTTGGATTTGTGATTTTATATTATATATATATATATGTGTGTGTGTGTGTGTATGTAACAATTTTATATGTTCTTTCGATTATGTTTGATGAATTACGGAATAACTTATTTTATATTTTGTATTTTTTTTCTCCTCATTCTACAGGTTTTGTATGTTTGTATGGACAAATTTATTATTATTGCAAATTTATATTAGTAAAATATCAACAATTAGTATTTTTTTTAAAAAAAAATTAATTAAGTTAGTTTAAATGATTAGCTAAAATAAAATAGTGTGGTTGGAGAACACAGTAACTAAAGTAATTAAGTAAAATAAAGAGTGTACTTTTTTTATGCTTTAACTAGTGAAAAGTAGAGACTGTGGTTGGAATTAACAACATGAAGTTTAATCAAATACTTATACCGTTCACCAAGAATATTCGTTGCATAACTGTTTTCCAAACCATGAAATGAAATCCAATTCAAAACCCAAGCCAAGAACTCAATTGGAATAACGTACACACCAGGGTTTAGTATTCATTCGTTGCCTTGTTCAAATTGGGTAAAGCTTCAACCGTAACTGTTAAGGAATTCTTGTCTTGATTTTCAAGTCTTCTTTTCTTGTTTTTTTTGTTTTGTTTGGACACAAACATATCAGAATTTGGGTTTCCAGCTAGGTAGCTTGTCATGGCAACAACTTAGCTTAATTAGCCTCAAGCTCAAGCATTTGCTTTCTTTATATACAAAAGATATGAGGGTGTAAACTCATTCCAGACATCATTAAACCCGATTAACAAAATGTCCTACATGTCTAATTAGTACTATATACTAGGTTCTTTGCCAGATTTAGGTCTCGTTTGTCAACTATACATCTTAGTCAAAAAATCATTATAAATTATCACATCACTCTCTTTACTTTTTTATATATCTTTTTGTAAAAAGTTAAAAAATTACTAAAATTGTTTGTTTTCAAATAAGGCCTCAGTTAAGAAAAGGGCAGGGGTTTTTTTTTTCCTTTTTGTCAGTTACATGAACTATATTGCACACCCCGGCTTCATTTTCGAAAAGTATGGTAGACATGATTTTATTTCAAAAAACACTTAGGCAGTGTTTGGTAGAGCTTTAAAATTATGATTTGAAAATAGAGTTGTATTTTGAGTTTGTGAGTTTTGGAATTATGATTTGAGTGTGAAAAATTTGTTTGGTTATGAGTTTTGAAAAAAGTTTTAAATTGAGTTTGAATTGAGTGATGTGACATATGATATTTGATACAAAAACTTACAACTCATAACCAAACACACAATCCAAAATTCTATTCAAAGTTCATAAAAAAAAAATTTTAAAAAAAATCACAAATTTTTTTTTGTAATATAAAAATAACAAGTGCAAAAAAAAAAAAAAAAAGAACACTGTTCCAGTCAACTGGCTGGACGTCCGGTGGGACGACCGGTTAGCCCAAATTTTCCCGCCTGTATAGAATTAATTTTTGAAAACGCTAAACAAACATTACACTCAAAAGTGAGTGTGAAACTATATTTTGAAAGCTCCACCAAATGGAGCCTTAGAATTTTTATGTAGAATTCATCACAAAAATGATGTCATAGTAACATTTTTATAATTAAATATCAATTTAATAGGCATTCTGTGTGTGTGTTTGGTTTGAGTTTTCTGGATTAAGTTTTTTGAAAATTGAGTTTTTTGGTTTTCGTATTTTTTTGTTTTTAGTGAATATTTTTAAAATTTTAAACATTTTTTTTACTTTTTTAGATGTACCTTACTTAGATGTATCTAAAAAGTAAAAAAAATGTGAAAAAATATTTTAAAAAATTAAGAAATACATAAAAATACAAAAAATGTACTGAATTCTTGTATTTTTTTTTGTATTTTTGGTATTTAGTGAATTTTTAAAAGATTTTTTTTTACAATTTTTTTACTTTTTAGGTGTATTTATGTTAGGTGTGTCTAAAAAGTAAAAAATTTACATAAAATATTAAAAAAATTCAATAAAAACAAAAAAATACGAAAAATAAGAAAGTAGAATTTTCTGAAAACTGTTTTTAAAAAAATGAAACCAAACATTGTGACTTTATGGTCATCGGTTATAACCAACTGTAATATTTGTTATAATTTAGTTATGACTCATTATCGTATTAGTTATAACTTATTATATTTGTTAATTTGATTATAATCGAAGAGATTTTTGGTTCTATCTATGTTTGGTTATAACTCATTTTAGTATTAGTTAGAAAAGTATTTGGGTGTGCAAGGTACATACCATATATACTTACTTAAATTCTCACAAATATATATAAGTTAGCTCACAAAATCACGTAAGTTTTTACAAATATTTTAAGTTGTGATATCTCAAATTTTTGTGGGTTAACTTATATATATTTGTGAAAATTTACATAATTTTGTGAGATAACTTACGTATATTTGTGAGAAGTTACGCAAGTACATATTGTATACACTTGCACACTAAAGAATTGTCCTATTAGTTATAGCGCTATAGCGTGACAAGTCCAACTTACAAGAATTAATCATTTTTTTTTCTTACAAAAATGCAACATGTCATGAACTTTATGTTAATATTTATCCTGCAAACAAGGTAAATGGTGTAGAGATGGTCATTTTCTCCCGCCTTGCCTCGTTCAGGTTTTCCCTGTTGAGGAAGAGGGACGGGAGCTGGTATTGCCTCCCTGCCCTGATTATATTTATATATATAATATAATTTAATTTTTTTTCACTATAATAAAATTAAAACACTAAAATATTATTCTTAATATTAATTTTTACTCATTTATTTTATATTTTATAATTCTCATGAAGTATAAATTATTATCCATAATATACTATATTTTCTATAATTCTTTTTTATTAATATTTTCATTCTTTAACTTACAAAATTGACCAATTCCCATCTCGCCACCCTTAATATATGATACGGGACAGATTATTACAAACCCGACCCATGATCATCCCTAATATGGTATAAATTTAAAATTGGTAAGATATGAGTCACATCCGCAATAAATATAATATTTTGAATTATATTTTGGATTAGGTTATAACTTATAAGGCCTGTGATATATGCATGTGTTTTGAGCCATTACAACCTCTGAGAAACTGAAATTGCATTCAACAAGAAAATTGTTATTTTGAAATGACAAACCAATACCATATATACTTACTTAAATTCTCACAAATATATATAAGTTAGCTCACAAAATCACGTAAGTTTTTACAAATATTTTAAGTTGTGATATCTCAAATTTTTGTGGGTTAACTTATATATATTTGTGAAAATTTACATAATTTTGTGAGATAACTTACGTATATTTGTGAGAAGTTACGCAAGTACATATTGTATACATTTGCACACTAAAGAATTGTCCTATTAGTTATAGCGCTATAGCGTGACAAGTCCAACTTACAAGAATTAATCATTTTTTTTTTCTTACAAAAATGCAACATGTCATGAACTTTATGCTAAAATTTATCCTACAAATGTGGTATATGGTGTAGAGATGGTCATTTTCTCTTGCATTGCCTTGTTCAGGTTTCCCTGTTGAAGAAGAGGGGCGGGAGCGGGTTTTACCTCGCCGCCCTGATTATATTTGTGTATATAATATAATTTAATTTTTTTTCACTATAATAAAATTAAAACACTAAAATATTATTTTTAATATTAATTTTTACTCATTTATATTTTATTTTATATCTTATAATTCTCATTAAGTATGAATTATTATTCATAATATATTATATTTTCTATAATTCTTTTTTATTTTTATTTTCATTCTTTTAACTTACAAAATTAACCAATTCCCATCTCGCCGCTCTAATATATGATACGGGAAGACTCAACCCCAACCCATGACCATCATAATATGGTATAAATTTGAAATTGGTAAGATAGCAGTCACACCCACAATAAATATAATATTTTGAATTATTTTTTGGATTAGGTTATAACTTATAAGGCCTGTCATACATGCACGTGTTTTGAGCCATTTACAACCTCTGAGAAACTCAAATTGCATTCAACAAGAAAATTGTTATTTTGAAATGACAAACCATGTTCTCTCCATTGTGACAAGGTGATGAGATACTCATTCTTGAAAAACTTCCATTTAGTCCAAAGAAAGTCGGCTAAGCTATTTGCAATTATTGAAACCCCCAAAGTCCACTACCATACTCTCTCCAAACCACCAAGACCCAACCAAGTCCTTAGAAAGTATCTAAACTCCAATTCAACCACCAAGGCTCTGTTACTCTTTAGAGACTTATTGAGAAAAAACACTTCTTCAATTGATAGCTTCTCTCTATTGTTTGCCAGTAAAGCTTGCACCCAAAAGTCCTTACCCATTGGAGGGAAACAAATCCATGCCCTTGTCATAAACCTTGGCTTTGAACCCATCATTCATCTCCAAACCTCACTCATTATCTAGTATTCTGGTGTGGGAGATATTAGCAATGCACACCACGTGTTTGATGAAATACCCATTAAAAATGTTGTCTGTTGGACTGCTTTGATTTCTGGGTATGTTGATAACCAGAAACCCAACAAAGCTCTTCAACTGTTTAGGAAAATGCAGATGGGTAATGTAGAGCCGGATCGAGTAACATTGACTGTTGCTTTCTCTGCTTGTGTCGATGTTGGAGCTTTGGATATGGGAGAATGGATTCACGCTTATGTTCGTAGAAAAAAAGAACTCGATATTGACTTGTGCCTAAACAATGCTCTCATAAACATGTATGCAAAATGCAGGGACATTGAAATTGCTAGGAGGTTGTTGATAGCGCGAGGAAAAAAGACGTCACGACTTGGACATCCATGATTGTGGGGCATGCATTGCACGGGGAAGCTGAGGAAGCACTGAAACTTTTTGCATCCATGAAAAAGGAAAACAGAAGTGGGAAAAAGAAGAATTGTGATCCCAGGAATGGTTTAATCCTCCCAAACGACGTTACTTTCATTGGAGTTCTAATGGCTTGTAGCCACGGAGGGATGGTGGAAGAAGGGAAGAGGCATTTCCAAAGCATGATTGAGGATTATGGTTTAAAACCTAGGCTTTCTCACTTTGGTTGTATGGTAGATCTTTTATGCAGAGCTGGGCAATTAAAAGAAGCTTATGAGTTTATTCTAGGTATGCCTGTCAAGCCAAATGCAGTGGTGTGGCGGACTTTGCTAGGTTCTTGTGGTGTTCGGGGCAACATTGATTTGGCTGCAAAGGCTCGTGCACGACTACTTGAATTGGAGGCTAGTCATATTGGTGACAATGTCATTATGTCTAATATCTATGCTGCCAAAGGCATGTGGGATGAGAAGATAATTGTTAGAGCTTTGATGATGCAACGTAGGGCTCCCGGTTGCAGTTCAATAGAAGTTGGAGGTGAAATTAATGAGTTTGCTTGTGGTGTTCGGGGCAACATTGATTTGGCTGCAAAGGCTCGTGCACGACTACTTGAATTGGAGGCTAGTCATATTGGTGACAATGTCATTATGTCTAATATCTATGCTGCCAAAGGTATGTGGGATGAGAAGATAATTGTTAGAGCTGTGATGATGCAACGTAGGGCTCCCGGTTGCAGTTCAATAGAAGTTGGAGGTGAAATTAATGAGTTTCACTGCTGATGATGAGCATTATATGAAAACAGAAATTTACGAGGTTCTTGAATACTTGATTAAAACAATAAGTGATCATGGTTATGCTCCTGGTCTGTCGAGCCCAGCAGAGTACTGATGTATGGAAGAGTATTGGTGAATATTGAAAGTCAATGCCAGTTGGTTGGTTCTATATCTCTATCAAATTTATCATTAAATAATCAATTAAAATTGCTCTTTATGATCCCCTGAATTTTCAGGTACACATTTTTATAATTTAGTAAGATTTTTAAGTGATATAACTTACGACATATTGACGTTGATTTGGAAGTTTAAAATTAAAGCTATAAAACATTTTTCATTTCAAAATTTCAAACTAGTAAGACATGCTTTAAATTTTTATGACTCTTATGATGGAATACCACTTTCTTAAAAGTGTTGTATGTTTGTGGGGTCTATTGTTGATATTTATCCGACAACTATAGGTTTGGCGCAAGTGTTGATTTCTCTTTGAATATTTCCTTCGAATTGTAATGAGTCTTCTATTAGAAAATAGAGAAATTTCACTGTTTGAAAATAGTAAATTTATATATTTTAGAGTAGGGTGTTAATTTTGTAATTTTGGAGCATTTAATTTGAAAATTTTAGGTATCTAAATTTTGCAATCACCGCAAGTGAAATTTTACAATGTATGGTGTTTTTCAGCCCTCAAATATGTTATTTTTAGCTCCTAAATTTGAAATTAATGACCTATTTTTTTTTGCAATTAGGCAACAGTCTTGCATTTTTTACCTTGAATTGAAAATATTGAAATTTCACCGTCTTTCGATAACAATGAAATTTCATTGTTTAATAACAATAGAGATAGTGAAACTTGTGATTTTTCTTAAAACTTCATACTCATTAATTGATAAATCTTGATAAGAAGATTTTAAAAATAAAAATTTTATATAATAAAAAAAAACCAAAAATGTGTTTAAAAAGTTATGAGTTTTTAAGTTTTGAAATCATTTTAAAAGTAAAGACACTAACTACTAAACGCGTAGTTGGGGACATTTTGATCATAAAATGGTCTTTGAAATATTGCAAGATTGGAGCTAAGAAACATTTTTTGTGTCCTTATACTAATATAATCTTATAATTAGGGAGGTATGGCCAAAGCATCTTTTTTTGGTTGAGAAAATCTTCAAAAAAATATATATTTCCAAGGACCTCAATGCCATGCAAATTATTAAAATTTGTGTAATTCTCCTATTGCAAAGTTTAGGTTTCTTCGTAAATTTATAAGTGCAATCCAAACCTTTTTTTCTTTGCATTTTTGAACTTTTAAGTTGGATTTAAAATTATAACGATAAGATTGTAACGGTGGTATCACGTTATCATGTATACGTATCACTAACCAATAACATGTTACAACCTACCTACAGTGGCGGAGTCAAGAAATTAAATCAGATGAGCCACTTATTAATTATAACATTGAAAATTTTTATAAAAATATTTAACATAAATTTTTACAATTGACTAGTGAGAGGGTAATTTGTGTTGCTAAAATTGGGCCGAGCTAGGTTGGAGTTGCGGTCAAAGATGTTTTTAGGACCTAGCTACGGGACCAAGTTATTGGACTTAGCTACGCGGCCTAGCTACGGGACTTAGCTACCTCCTAGTGGCGGTCAACGCTATGGCCGAGCTACCAAGCAAGGTAAAAAAAAATTAAATCATGGATATAAGTTTTAAAATAAATTATATAATGAAAAAGTAATTTTTTATACAAAATTTCAATAAAAATTCAATATAATAGTAATATTACGTCATTATTGACATATGATATCACCAACCAATAGTAAAGAAATATATAAAGGATGAATCTCACATGTCAAATGTAACTAACAATTCAATAAATTCCATTCATTGAGATTAATTATAATTGTATGTCAATAATGATAGACATCACCATTGTATTGAAATTTTCATAGATAATAATATGACTTATCGTAATATCTTTATTTTCAATAAAAAAAAACAATCGTTATTATTCTCATAGCTTTAAAAATGTCATTAATATTTCACTCTAAATAATATTTTAAATTTTTTTTATTTAAAATATTTTCTTTATGTTTGCCAAAAAAAAAAAATTTATTCCAAAACCCAGGAGGGGCATGTGACTCCTTGGGACCCTCTGTGGCTCCGCCACTGCCTACCTACTATGTATAGATCCTAATATGATGACATGAAAATTATAACAATGACATAGGTGTGAATTTGGGGTAGCTGCTGTGCATCCCGTACAGTAGTCACTATTGTACACTTAAATAGGTTCATTTCGGGGTCTATTTTGATAATCTGAATCGTTCAAATTTTAAAATATATCAAGTAGAACATACCTGCAAAAAATCAAGTTAATCAGATATCGTTTACCTTTTCATCCACTCACATTTGTATCTACAAAAATAAATAACAATTTGATTTAAAGTATTAAAATGAATACAAATGTGAGTGGATGAAAGAGTAAACGATATCCGATTAGCTTAAGTTTTTGCAAGTATATTTTATTTAATGTATTCTAAAATGTGAACGGTTCGGATTATTGAAATAGGCACCGAAATAGATCTATTTAGGTGTACAAGAGGGGTGCACAGCAGCCACCCCAAATCCGGTGGGTGTGTGGTTACAATTAGTAAGTGGAGTTCACTCAATCACGTGTTAGATTGTAATTTGTTAGTAATACCACGCGTACATAATAATATGTATCACCATAATTCTAAAATTTTACTTACTACACCATATTGTCTTATTTAAACTAAATATGTCATTTGGTCACAACTTGAAAATCATTCCATTTAAGTCAGACTTCTAACTTTTTATTTTTATCTTTCTGTTCAAAATGTCAACTTAACCGCTCATATTTTAAAATATTGATTTGGAATTATGTCGACATCAAAGTTTAAAGAGAGATTTATTTATAAATCTCATTTAGCAAACTTATAGTCTAATTGATTTTGAACAGTAATGAAGTCAAAGATTAGAAGTGTAAGGAATTGTATATTTCGGAGATCAAAGTGAAAAAATTAAAAGATTTATATTGATCCTGTATATTTTGGATACTAATTAATAACTAAAGTGTCATTTGTTTGAAAGATTTTTGGTGTAACTAACCCAACTAATGATAATAATAATTATAATAACATGAAGTTTAATCAAATACTTATGCCTTTCGCCAAGAATATTCGTTGCATAACTGTTTTCCAAATCATGAAATCAAATTCAAAACCCAAGCCAGGAACTTAATTGGAATAACGTACACACTAGAGTTTAGTATTCATTCGTTGCCTTGTTCAAATTGGATAAAGCTTCAACTTGTTAAGGACTTCTTGTCTTGATTTTCAAGTCTTCTTTTCTTGTTTTTTCGTTTTGTTTGGACACAAACATATCAGCATTTGGGTTTCCAGCTAGGTAGCTTGTCATGGCAACAACTTAGCTTAGCCTCAAGCTCAAGCAATTGCTTTCTTTATATACAAAAGATATGAGATTGTAAACTCATTCCAGACATCATTAAACCAGATTAACAAAATGTCCTACATGTCTAATTAGTACTATATACTATGTTCTTTACTAGATTTGGATAAGAAAAGGGTAGGGCTTCTTCTCTTTCTCTTTTTTTTTTTTTTTTTTTTTTTTTTCAGTTACATGAACTATATGCACCACCCCGCTTCATTTTTGAAAAGTATGTTATACATAATGTTATTTCAAAAAATACTCAGAATTTTTATGTAGAATTTATTAACGCCGAGATGATCTCGGCTAGGCTTCTGTAGCTGAGATCACAATTATGTATAACATAATCTGGAATTATGTTATACATAATTGTGATCTCGGCCTCTACTAATTATGATGTGATTCTTATGAACAGTATATGTTCTTATTTTATTTTTAACATACAAATATAGACTAATTTCACTAGAAGTTGGAACGTTTGATTTCATGTTTGTTTTGAAAAAGTGTTTTGAATATGTACCACTTGAAAAAGTGATCTTATATATATATATATATATATATACATATACATTTAATCAAAGTATCCCAATTTCAGTGAATAACCTTCATCCACAGGCATTCAAGTAATTTAACAATTAAGCATTTAGCCTCATGGTAGTATGTTTGATACGACAGCAATCACACTTATATAATATGCTAAAGCATAAAAACTTACCTTGTACTCTAAGCCAAAAAAGGAACTAGTTAGAAAAATGCATGATCCAACTATGTAATATGGCTAATGCAACACATATAATATGCAATTAATAAGCTCGGCTACTAGAATAGCATGCGAGTCAATTCAAGGCATGTGATAGCGCACGTATTCAAGTAAAGAGTTTAAATTTGACATTTGAATAATATGATGAGCCGAACTTTTATGCATGCAATACAAATGGATGCAAACATGAGTATGCTAAATTAAACATGATGTCCTTAAACTAACCATCATAAGCTGGTAAATAAAAGGGAGAAAGACGTGGGGTTAGAAGACATACACATTATTACATATTTGTCCTCGCGAAGGAGAGTCTGAATGTCTAAGTGTCTGAATAAATAAATATTACAAATCCGAATGAATAATAATGAAAAGGGACTGTCTAATTTATTACAACAAATAATATGTAATGATCGTGCGATGCTCCTCAGAAATTACTCTGTCTGCCTTGTTGAGATTTGTTCTGTTTCACCTTATCATTGCTTTCGACCAAAAGTGTATATTTATTGGAGCCTTGCCGACTCAAAACAAGACTTAGTCGAGCCCTAAATAAATCCAAGCATACCTTGTTTTCTTTGCAGAAATCTGTTTTTTTTTTTTGTGCCTGAGGTGAAACAGTGCAAACATGCAGACAGGGTATTCCTGGCCATATTTGTCTCTTCTACTCTTCTCTATCATGGAAAATACTCAAGAGAGGAGCGAACTCGGTTCCCAAACCATCTATGGTTGCAAGTTGGTTTGCAAGATGATTTTGGACATGATAGGACAAAGATCAATAAATGTAATGCATAATGACCACCCCTCCCTCCTATCATGAAGCAAATTCAAGAAGGGAAGTAGAGATGCTTCAAGATTCATCAAAACATTATGGACTAATGTAAGACAAGCCTTGACACAATAAACTCGGTATAACGTTCGACCGAATTCAAGAAATCATATTAGTTCTTTATGTTGGTTGATTCATTTTAAGCTCAATTTTATTAACCTCTTTTATATTTCATTTCCTTTTCTTTAATCCATTAAGTCCACGGTGATATTTACATCCACTAAGTCTGAAATGCAATAAAGGAAAATAAGTGTCGACTTAACCCGAGGAAATAAACCTTATTTTATTCGGGAAAATTACAAAGGAAGAGTCAAACTCATTTACAAGTGATAAGGGATTTCAAGTCAAACTCAATATACGCAACAAGGACTAGCCAAACTCAAAAGAGTGATAATGACTTAGAAAAACCCACCGTGAGTGATAATGACTTGAAATTCAAACTTGATAATAAGTGATAATGACATTTTCCTTGGTGATTTCTAATGGTCAATTAATCCCTTAAAAGTAAACACACTGATGATAAATTCTTCGGGAAAAATTACAAAAGAAGAGTCAAACTCATTTACAAGCGATAAGGGGTTTCAAGTCAAACTCACGATGCGCAACAAGGATTAGTCAAACTCAAAAGAGTAATAATGACTTAGAAAAACCCACAGTGAGTGATAATGACTTGAAATCCAAACTTGATAATAATTGATAATGACACTTTCCTTAGTGATTTCCAAAGGTCAATTAATCCCTTAAAAGTAAACACACTGATGATAAAGAGAACTGAAAAATAAATGATTGTGCTTT